ATATTTAACTCCTGAGTTGAGTGATACTTAACTGTATGCATATGTAATAGTGCTGAAACAAATACAAGTGGCAATTTGTTCTAATAAATCTAGAATATACAGGGGTGTGTGTTTGTTTTTTTTGAAGTTAGAACAAGCTGGCCATTCATAGTGCCATCGTGAGAGCTAGGCTCCATCAAGCTTTAATTCAGGTCCTTTAGTGCCTTTCATTTTGAATATCTCCATGATATAAAATAAACTAAAAATACAGCTGGAGAGCGGGAACCCCTTGTAATAGGCACAGTGGGTGTATATACCAAAGAACTTAAAACGAAGAAGTCTGACTAATTAACTACCTAAGAGAAATAAGACTGTCAGGTGGCTTACCTTTCCAGCATCTACCAGAAACCGGTATGAGTTTTAAGTGGACCTTCCCATTTAAGCACACTGATGATCCCTTATTTTTTTCTCTTTTACAAAGTGTGTGTGTGTACACCAATTAGCCATAACATTATGACCACCCGCCTAATATTGAGTAGGTCCCCCTTTTACCGCCAAAACAGCCCTGACCCTTTGAGGCATGGACTCCACTAGACCTCCGGAGGTATGCTGTAGTATCTGGCACAGTCAGTAGCAGTAAGTAAGTTGAATGGTGGGGCCTCCATGGATTGGACTTGGTTTTCCAGCACATCGCAAGATCTCTGTGCAATCGAACATCTGTGGGAATTTGGTCAACACCTCAAATTCGTTGTGTTCCTCAAACCATTCTTGAACCATTTTATTGTGGCAGGGTGCATTATCCCGCTGAAAGAGGTCAGTGCCTTCAGGGAATACCGTTTCCGCAAAGGGGTAATCTTGGTCAGCAACAATTCGTAGGCAGATGGTACGTGTCAAAGTAACAGCCACATGAATGGCAGGACCCAAGGTTTTCCAGCAGAACATTGCCCAAAGCATCACATTGCCTCCACCAGCTTGCCTTCTTCCCATAGAGCAGCGGTTCTCAACATGTGGGTCGGGACCCCTTCGGGGGTCGAATGACGATTTGCCAGGGGTCGCCCGGGAGTCTCCTGCTATTAGATAGCGGATCCCGGCCGCCTGGGAGAGAAACACTTTCTCCCGAGCAGAGTAAACCTTTTTTGTCTGACATTGGGGGCCGTAGGCCGCCATAAGTCAGAAAAAAAAACACCCTAGGAATGCATAGCTAGATTCCTATTGGCTATTTCACTTTGCAATAGCTAGTTTGCTATTGGCTATTGCAAAGTGAAATAAGTCAGAAAAAAAAACACCCTAGGAATGCATAGCTAGATTCCTATTGGCTATTTCACTTTGCAATAGCAAACTAGCTATTGCACCCGCCCTCTGCTGCTGCCAATCAGCAGAGGGGGACCTGAAGTTCTCCATCAGGTCCCCACTTCTGGTTGACAGCAGCAGAGGGCGGGTGCAATAGCTAGTTTGCTATTGGCTATTGCAAAGTGAAATAGCCAATAGGAATCTAGCTATGCATTCTTAGGGTGTGTTTTTTTTTTTTATTCTGACGGCGTACAGCAGTGGTTCTCAACCTGTGGGTCGCTGTGTGATTTCTGCTGTGCTAGGTGAGAGGCCTCCTCAGCCCTCTCCTAGCGCAGCAGTGTCAGTTCTCCCGCCAGATATCGCTGCAGCAGCCGCGTCATTCCTAAATTTTACTGTTGGGGGTCACCACAAATAGGCAAATGTTACCAAGGGGTCCTGGCCCCAGAAAGGTTGAGAACCACTGCCATAGAGCATTCTAGTGCCATCTCTTCCGCATGTAGGTGACAACCGCACACCTGGCCATCCACATGATGTAAGGCTTCGTTCACACTGAGCGATTTATCGCGCAAAATGCAAATCGTGCGCTAAACGCGCGATTTGCGAATGGCGCAGTGTGAATGGGGCCTTAAAGACAACGTGATTTACCAGACCAGGCCACCTTCTTTTATTGTTTTGTGGTCCAATTCTAATACGCATCTGTCCATTGCATCAATGTTCCTTTGCTGCCCATGACCCTGTTGCCGGTTCACTGTTTTTCCTTCCTTGGACCACTTTTGGTAGGCACTGACCACTGCAAACTGGGAACATCCCATAAGAGCTGCAGTTTGTTGTTGCTCTAGCTGTCATAATTTGTCCCTTGCCTAAGTCACTCAAATCCTTCACTTGCCCATTTTTTTCTGCCTCCAACACATCAACTTTAGAAACAAAATGTTCACTTGCTGCCTAATATATCCAACCCACTTCCAGGTACCATTGTAACCGGATCATAAATGTTATTAACCTCTCAGTGGTCATAATCTTATGGCTGATCGCTGTGTACATGTATGTAGTCATGGCCAAAAATATTTACACCCCTGCATTTCTGTCAGAAGATGCACCACTTTGTGCAGAATATTGTTGCCATTACAAATGTTTAGGCATTCTCATGTTTATTTATTTTGTTTGTATTGGTGTGACACAAAAAAGTAGAGAGAAAAAAATCCAAATCTGACACATTCCATGCAAAACTCCAAAAATGGACTGGACAAAATTATTGGCACCTTCTCCAAATTGCAAGAAATGCATTCCAAGCTTTTGTGGAAAAGCATGGACAATCTCAAGGTTAAAAGTCCATTTCCAGAGATCTTAATGTGTCCACTGTGCACATCATTGTCAAGAAGTTTACACCCCATGGCACTGTATCTACTCTCCCTGGACGTGGAAGAAAGAGAACAATTCCAGACAAATTCAAGCTGACCTTCAGGCACAGGGTACAACTGTGTCAGCTCGCACTATGTTGCCATCTGAATGAAAAAGGACGCAATGGTAGGAGACCCAGAAAAACCCCACTGCTGACACAAAAACATAAAAAAGCCAGATTAGAGTTTGCCAAAACTTACCTGAGGAAGCCAAAATCCTTTTGGGAGAATGTGCTGTGGACAGACAAAACAAAATAACAGCTTTTTTTTGGAAAGCTCATCATTCTACTGTTTTCACAAAAAGAAATGAGAAACACAGTCCCTATAGTCAAACATGGTGGTGGTTCACGGATGTTTTGGGGTTGCTTTGCTGCTTCAGGCACTGGATGTCTTGACTGTGTGCATGGCATTATGAAATCTGAACACCACCAAAGAATTCTGGGGTGCAATGTAGGGCCCAGTGTCAGAAAGTTGGGTCTCCGTCAGAGGTCATGGGTCTTGCAGCAGGCCCATGACCCAAAGCACATGTCAAAAAGCACCCAGAAATGGTTTCAGACAAAGCACTGGAGAGTACCGCACTGGCCAGCTATGAGTCCAGATCTGAATCCCATGGAGAACCTGTGGCGAGACCTCAAAGCAGCAAATGGGAAAAGGAACCCTTCCAATCAGTTGGCGAACGAAGAGTGATCCAAAATTCTTATAGAGAGGTTTAAGAAACTCATTGATGGTTACAGGAAGCCATTGATTTCAGTTATTTTTTCCAAGGTCTGTGTTACCAAATATGAATTGAGAGTGCCAATAATGTCCAGTCCATTTTTTGAGTTTTGCGTGGAATGTGTCAGATTTGGCTTTTTTGGTTGTTGGTTTTTCTCCACTCTTTTGTCATACCAATACAAACAAAAGAAATAAACATGAGAATGCCTAAACATTTGTAATTGCAACAATTTTCTGCTCAAAGTGGTACATTATCTGGCATAAATGCAGGGGTGCCAATATTTTTGGCCATGATTGTATGTGTGTGATTGTATATAATAGATCTCTGTAATATCTCTGTAATCTCTTGTAAAATGTCCTTGTTTATAACTGTTCATTACTCCCCACTTAGGTATCTTCAGTGACGTCCATGTCCTGGCTTTGATGTACTGCGGAGAGATGTGCTTCTGGGCGCTCAGTTACTGTTCAGACATCCCACCTGGATCTGATTCTGAGACGCACAACAAAATCCTGAACTTTAAAGAAGTTGGGGAAAAAGTTTTGGACACTTATGTCAGTGTTTGTGAAGGTCCTCTAAATGGACATGGCTGGAGCACAGAGAACGCCAAGAAGATTCTAGAGTTTCTAAGAATGAGATGAGGTTTATCAAATGTGCCTATTGATTATGCCTAAGAATTCAGTTTTATATTTAAAGTATTATACATTTATGCAATAGCCCTTGCATTTTCTTGAATAAAGAAAAACTCCAGGCAAATGTATGAAACGTCCTTTTTCTGCACTTTTCTTTACGTCAAAAATTCACTTTGACGACGTGTTGTAATCGAATCATATTTGTCCTAAAGTAAACTTCTTTCTTTGCCCATTCAGTGGTCACTCACAAGTCCACTTGTTAGTTTGTCCCCTCTTCTTTAGATACATCCCCAGTGCTTCTCTGCCACCAGTTGGAGCCCTGCAAAATTCATGGTACTTCTGGGTATGGAGCATGTAACACTCCTTCCTTCCATCCATGATGTCTTGGCACCTGAGCAGTTTTCAGCTCTGAGCTTACATGGGCTTTTTACTCCAGTAGGTGAATGGGAGCATGGGGAAGGTATTAGTAGCTGAGGAGCTAGACTGTCAAGATAACCTGTTTGTCCTTGATGAGCAAAGTGAAGGTTCACATTAAAAATGTTATATGAAATTCTAGATCAGCCATACAGTGGGAATGCCTGCTTTTCAAATGGTTGGGCAATATGAGAACCTATGCTTGCCACATAACAATAATTTTTTTTAAATTCTTGTTGTGTATGTTTGGGTCTAGAGGTATGGATGCTAATGATGGGACATGGGGGGTGGTGAATGTTTGGGGTGGAATAGTAAGGGATGGGAAATAGGCTAGGGATTTGCAAGGTTTGGGTATAGAGTAAGGGGGTGAAGGAAAAAAGGGTGGGGATGCAGTGGGTGGATGGGATTATCTTGAATTCTAACTGGAGTATAGGAGCCGGCGAATTCAGAGCTTGCGGTGAGAATTTGTTAAATGTTCAAGAGCAGCTGTTGTTAAAGTGTTTAAAGACTGGACTGTCAGCCGAAAATCTGGGTCTGAACGTGTGAATTGTGGCCGTCAGCGACTAGTCAATGTTAGGGCAGAACGGAGAGTGGCAGAACTGGTACAAGACAACAGAAGGGCAACAGTGCCGTGTCAGATTCCTCGCATCACCTTTTCAACATCTTGTGGAGTCACGAGGCGGCCCAACGAAGTAATCTCGCGGCCCAACGAAGTACTGATGGGGTGGTCATAATAATCTGCCCACTCAGTGTATGTAAACGTGTTAACACTTTCCACGTTTTCCCACTACACTACAAAAATCCAAACCCGCATATGAACATTCAAACTTAAGGAATCCCCACTTTATAAATTGCATCATATAGGACAATAGCTTTTGAGGGGGTTAAGGGGGAATAACAGAGCCAAAGTAAAGGCAGCTGAAGCCTCTTTGGCTATTCACTGCTGCCATTTTTACCCATACATCGGCTCCACTTCCCTTCGGTTTGGAAGAACAGCCTCAGCACATTTGGCCGAACCGAAGGGAAGATTCCGTTCGCCTCAGCCAATGCAAAATTTGGATCAGCTGAGGCAAACGTTTGGCACGTCATTCTCTGCTGTTCACTCCTATTCTCAAAGGGGCCAAACAGCAGAGAGTGAATAGCTGAAAGAAGCCGAGCAGCAGTCGGCTCCGTCATTTTGTTTGCTGCCTCAGAGGTAGCAACTAGAATGACAATTGTCATATAAACAAAAAAAAACAGTGAGGTGTCCCTCCCAATTCATACCAGACCCTTTAGGTCTAGTAGGAATGTTAGGGGAGGGACCCCCGATGTTAAAAAAAAAAAATGTGCGGTTACCCTAAAAATTCATACCAGACCCTTTATGTCTGGTAGTACTTTTAAGGGGGACCCCAAAAAAAGGAATAAAAACCCCTAAAACTTTATAAACCAGAACCTTAATCCGAGCACTGGCAAGGCAGAAAGGGGGAAATGACACCAGTGAGCGCCCCCCGCCTGCACTATATCAGGCCACATGCCCGCCGCATTGGGAGGGTGCTTTTCCAGGGGTGACCCCCTGGAAAAGCACCTTGCCAATGAGGACAACCAGCGGGCCAGGGTTGTGGGGGTTTGCAGGCAGGGGGGGGCTCATCTGTATCTGGGTACCCTATTTCATAAAGGGGGCACCCAGATGCCTCCCCCCTTGTGAATGAGTAAGGGGTATTTGTTACCCCTACGCATTCACTAAACAGGTAAGTAAACAGTAAATAAACACCACACGTTGAAAAAAAAAAACTTTAACCGATCAAAAAACACAAAGACCGTTTTAGACAAGTCCTTGATTATTTAAAAAAAAAAAAAAAACCCATAAAATAGTCCAGCGATCTAATGCAACATCAATCACGATGAAAGACGTCCACGGACTCGCCCAAAACAAAAAAAAAGTCCTGCCGACCCGACCGCTCGTGACAGACACCCACTGCAAATTTGGCCTGAATGTAAACACATGGGCGGAGTGAGTTATGTCACGACTCACTCCACCCATTTGTTTTCATGCCACGACAGCGCTGTGCCCTCAAATGGCGTGTAAGCAAATGGGGGCGCGAGCGGTCGGTAAAGTAAATTTAGTAAACAAAATTTGAGATCCATCACGGGAGTGAGCTTGAAGTTCACTTCCTGTATCTTCCCCTTATGATTCTACAAATCATCTTTGTGTTTACACTGATTTCTCCATGGTGAGGGAGGACTTCAATTACATGGTGGATTGCTGGTCCTGGTAGTTTACAAAGGGGAGATAACATTGTTTGTACTTTCTTTTCAGCTCATAGGAAGTAACAAGGACACTGCATTTCTGGCAAGATCCAAATGTATTTTCTGCATGTGCTAAAAACATTAAGCCGACCATGCACAGCAGTCAATTTCTGCCAATTTCACATACTGTAAAATTTGAGACATGGGTGGATCTTTCCGCCCACCCGGCTTCCATTACAAAATTTAAGGAGCCAGGTAAAAAATAGTTGGCCCCACTGTGACGGCATCCAATCAGCTGCAATCATTTTTTGGGTATTTCTTACGGCCACGTGTGCTGGCTGTCAAAATACAACAGCTGACAGGTGAGATTTGCCAATCTGTGCCGTTTAGTGTAGATGAGGGGGGAAAAAAGTGATCTTTTTTTCGCTGCAGGGCTGAAAGAGAGAAATCTAGCCATGCATCAGTGGCGTCACTAGGGGGTGCGGCCCGCACACAGGTGACACCATTGGAGTGGTGACACCAAAATGACTCATAGTCATTTAGGTGTCGTCCCCTTTGAAAAGTCATGGACCAAGAGCCCGACAGTTGCAGGAGAGAGGAGGGGACCCAGCGGCATACCTAGCGGCCGCGCATGCGCGATGAAGTTATCATGCACGCGTGTGGTGACATCACAAGCATGCTCGTTGACACCCGGCCTTGGGACGCCCCTGATGTGCATGGCAAGCATTAGCCTGAAAAAAGGAAACTAATGCAGCCACCTCATCTAATGAACGGTAAGCTGCACTACATGACATTTTTGTTTTTGGATTTCGATACTTTAACCCCTTCGTGACTGACGACGTACAGTGTACGTCGCTGTCATCGGGGCTGCAAAAGCCGCCGGGAGTCTGTTTAAACTTGTAAAGCTGACTGTCGGCTTTACAATAGAAGCTATTCTGGTGACTCTGGGACCGGCTTCTCTGGTGTCGGCGGGGAGCTGGGGAGGAGAGGGACGAACATCTGTTCGTCGATCCCATCCCCGTTCTATGGGACTGGGAGCGATGCAGATTACATCACTTCTGGTCCCATAGCTGTCAGTTCTGGGCTCCTGAAGCCCAGCTATAAGCTATTGAAGTGCGATCTGCACTTCAATAGCTTGTTTGCAGTGTAAAGGTGACACTAGGGGTCTTTTGGACCCCCAGCATCACCTTAAAGAGTACCTGTCACCACCATCTGCTATCACATGGGGGGCTTGTAAGTCCTCCTATGTGATAGCAATCAAAGTAAAGTAAAAAAAAAATACGTTTTGAAAATGAAATAAAGTAAATCTAAAAAAAAATAAAAATTTAAAGGCCCCCGCAAGCACGCGCGTCACCGTGTAAACACGCGTCGGGTGTGCCTACATATGAAAGCGACGAACGCGCTACACATGTTGGGTATTGCCATGCACGCCGGAGTGAGAGTAATAATTGCTGAACCGGCGGTCATATCAAAGCCGGCTCCGACAAGAACCCGGCGGAGCCGCTGTGATATAATGGCGGTTCCGCCAGGTTCTCAGTGTGTAATGGCAGTCCAGCATCCCCTGGTTACTAGGTAACCAGGAGATGCTGAACTGTCATTACCCACTGAGAACCCGACGGTTTAATATTAATTTGAGAAACATTTGCGCAATTATCGCAGGGCCTACAAATTTAGTATCACCATCTTTTTATTCTACCGGGCCTGCGCTTTCAGAAAATATATGGTTTGGGGGGTCTTTTACAAACGCTAGCAACGCAGCAGTTGAAAATCAAATCAATAGGAAAAAATTGCAGAAAATTCAAAAATGGCTTGGCCAGCTGATTTGAAAAATGTTCCGGAGGGCTTGGCAGCGAAAGGGTTAAAGCATCGTCTATGGACTTTTTGGTGACTGAAGTTTGTCGGCGTTTCACGGACGCACACAATTTTTAACTTGGACATGTTGGATATCTGTTTACTCATTGTAACCTCCTCTTTTATATTTTATTTTAAAAATGGGTATTTTATTGTGTTTTTGGGCATTTAAGTACATTTTTCACAACATTTTGGGGTTTAATAAGGAGTTGCGCTAATATCGTGCAACATAGAAATTTGCAACTGCCAACATTTTATTCTATAGGGTTTTGGCTTTCAGAAAATATATAATTTTTGGGGTTTTTTAAGTAATTTTCAGGCCTAAAATGTGGAATATAACATGGGTGCAAAAAAATGAAAAAAGGCCTCAGTCATGAAGGGGTTAAATATAATCTCAATTCCAAAAAAAGTTGGGAGGCTGTGTAAAAACTACATAAAAACAGAATGCAATAATTTGCAGATCTCATAAACCCATCTTTTATTCACAATAGAAAAACTTCTATAACCTGGCTGTTTCTGGTAAAGGCCAGTTCAACATTCTGTTTGTTTACAATATGGTGCATTTATTATTATGCAATATGCCGCTGAGGACTGAATGGAGTATGACTTTAATGGTCTCCGAGCAGCAGAAGGCGATTGTTTGGCATGACCACACAGAGTCGCTCCTCCGGCGGTTGCTATGTAAATCATGGGTTGCTAGGGTGCGGGTCAGGTGACACCTTCGGTCATGTGACGAGCAAAGCGGCCTCCAGTGTGTCCGTGCGATGACGCTGGAAGATGTGTGTGTTCAGGAAGTAGTGTGATCGGCCGGGACTGTCCCCGGATCGGCGCTGATCATTCCGCAATTCAGAGGGATAGCATGGCGGAGGGGAATGCAGTCTCCGCTGTGGAGTGGGGGCGGCTGGAGGCTGCCATCATTAATGGCTTCAGACAGCTGAGAGATCGCTACCTGCAGAGAGGTGTGAGAGTGCTGGAGGAGGCTGAGAGGGACGGTGACAGTGACAGCCCCCTGGACAGGCTGCCGGTAAGTGACTTCCTCTCCAGTGACAGGCAGCACCGGGTCCCATACATGTAATGAGTACACAGGTGTCCCTGATGGGGGGGTGGCGAAGTCCCCATCCTGGCTGAGATGTCTTTCTTCTGTTGGGTCTGTTCTGTGTAACAAATGAATCGACTGCCAGGTGTGTGTTCTCCTTTTTGGGAACCAATACAGAAGCCATGACCTATTTGAATGCTCCGGTCGAGACCCAAACGCACATATGAATTACATGTATGAGAGTTGGCTTACCTGTTCAAGAGTTTGAATTTGTGTCCATTCTGTCCTGAGATTTACACAGCTCTGTCACACACTGCACAGCCAGCCTGGTGACTAGGGATGAGTTTAAGTTCAGGGCAGGATGAGGCATGCCCCATTCTCCAGCTGAATGTAAACAAAGGGGAGGGATGCTGGTGACTTCATTGGCCATATGGCCGTATTCAGTCAATGTCATCAACCAAATATGGCCATGGGGCCACATAAGGTCAATAATATCACCAGCACTCTTCCCCTTTGTTCACATGCAGTTGCTGAGTGGCTATTAGGTCACACTCCCCAGCCCGGCAGCTGCATGTAAACAAAGGGGTGGGATTCTGGGGACATCATTGACCTTATATGGCCATATTCAGTCAGTGACAGTTGTGTCTCAATGCCATATACGGTGAATGATACTGACTGAATACAGCCATATGGCCATATAAGGTCAATTAGGTCAATAGCACTCCTCCCCTTTTGTTTATATGCAGCTGCTGAGTGGTTATTAGATCACATTCTCCCACCCCGCAGCTGCATGTAAAAAAAGGGGGTGGAATGCCGGTGATATCATTGACCTTATATGGCCGTATTCAATCGATGACAGTGTCTCAATGAAATATTCGGTCAATGACACTGACTAAATATGGCCATATAAGGTCAATGAGGTCATGAGCACTCCTCCCCTTTGTTTACATGCTGCTGCTGAGTGTCTATTAGTTCACACGCCCTATCCCACAGCTGCACGTAAACAAAGGGGTGGGACTCTGGTGACATCATTGACCTTATATGGCCATGTTCAATCAATGCCATTGACCGAATATGGCAATGATACTGTCACAGACTGAATACGCCATAAGGCCATATGAGGTCAAAGATGTCACCAGCATCCCGCCCCTTTGTTTGCGTGCAGCCTTGAGGTGGGGGAATGTGAAGTAATAGACACTTAGCAGCTGCTAACAAAGGGGGGATGCTATCATTGATCTTCTATGGCCACATAATTGACTTAATATGACAATATAAGGTCAATAATATCACCAGCATTCCGCCACTTTGTCTACATGCAGCTACGGAATGGGGAATGCCCTGGCTGCAGCTGATTGGGCCGGCACTAATAGCTTCCTTCCAGTTTCGGACTAACTCAACTGAAGTTCTGACTGTAGCCAAGCTCATCCCTACTGGTGACCTGAATAGTGCAGTAAAGTAATGCAGCTATGTCACCTCCCTGTCCCCAGCCTGTGATTGGACAGTGAAGAAGCAGCAGTAGACTGATGAGCTCATCACTCTTTCATCCCCTGTCAGTATGTTCCTTGTCCACACATCTAGCACTCCTGATTGGATCCTACTGCTGCTCATTCCTCTTCCAGTTCTACTGTACAGGGGAGTACAGGAGGCTGCATTCATGACTGGTATAGACGAGCGTTTCCTGTGATTAACATGCATTTGTAACGCACATTATATGGCAGGTCAGCAGATTCCCATTTAAATGAATGGTGCAGTGAGAATTCTGAGATTGCATTACACTGCTCTTCTTTGGATGCAGATGTTTCTGTACAGATGTGTCTTTGAGCAACTCTGCGTTCAAAGTAAAAAAAGGAAACGTTAATAATTGTCGGGATCCGTTCCGGCTGGGGCGTCTCAGTATGCTTGCGGTATACTGAGCTTAGGGTGACGCTAGTTTGTGTCCTCCCATTACCCTTAGGAGAACTATGGGGAAAAGCCCTGACCACATAGTTCTTCTTTAAGCTGGCCATACACTTATAGACTATCTGCAGGTTCTCTATGGTCAGATGGAAAGAGTGCAACAGGTTCCTCCATCTACGCTAACCTGTGTGGATGGAGGAACCTCCCACTGCACCAAGCTTCAGTATCTTGCTAGTCGGCCCCGCTGGCTCTCAAAACACCAGAAGAATGCCGGCATCCAATCAGATTGCTCAGGTGTTTTGAGAGCCAGTAGGGCCGACTAGCAAGATACTGAAACTTGGCCCAGTGGGAGATTCCTCCATCCACACAGGTTAGCGTAGATGGAGGAACCTGTTGCACTGTTTGCATCTGACCATAGAGAACCTGCAGATAGTCTATAAGTGTATGGCCAGCTTAAAGCAGAACTATGGGGTCAGGGCTTTTCCCCATAGTTCTCCTACGGGTAACGGGAGGACACAAACTAGCGTTCTCCCGTCATCCTAAGCTCAGTATACCGCGAGCATACTGAGACGCCGCAGCCGGAACGGATCCCGACAATTATGTCTGGATCCGCCCAGCTGTGTGAGTGACAGCTGGCTCTGCCTATCCGTTCCGCCAGTCAGCGCCGGAGGAGCGGGGAAAGGGGAATCCAGTCCCTCCCCTGTCACGGCTCTCTGCTGGCACAGGATCGAAAAGTGAGCGAGCGACGGTATGTGTTCGCTCACTTCCCGATCTACTGAGCCGACCTGTGATACCTCATTGTTCTCCTTTTAACAAATACATTGAATTACTTATTAATGAATGTCTGGCCGTCTTCAATGGTGCTTTTTTTTAATAGCTATCTTTTTCGGTTTATCATGATGGCTCAGGACATAGTCCAAAGGGAACAGGGGTAGGCAACCACGGCACTCCAGCTACGGTGAAACTACAAATCCAGTGACACATTGCAAGACTCTGACGGGCATGACTCCCAAAGGCAAAGGTTTGGTGTGATGTGTGGTTTCACCACAGCTGGAGTGGCGAAGTTGCCCACGGATGGATTGGTGGTTGCGAAAGATTAGCAGTTACAGAAATGATGCAAATGCATGTAACAGGTGTAACACCTCCAGTTTTGGGACGCAGTTCAGGAGAGTTGGGATCTGTCAAGCTTTTTTTTTTTGTCTGTGACCCCAACAGGGAGATTCCCTATCACTTCCTGACACCAAAACAAGAAATAGTCATTGTGGTTGCCATCAGGACAAGAAAGCATTTTCAGAAGCTCAAACATTTCCTCACTCAACCAGGAAGGAGAGGGGATGAGTCACTTGTCAGTAATGTCACGGATCAGTCTTACTGCTGTTTCTTGTAGTTCTACAAACTTGTGTCTGCCGCCTGTCCTGACCTTCGGGGAGCCCCACTGCAAGGTTTAATTTTTTTAAGTTCCTGGAGTTCCGCTTTAACATTTATATCTGTAAGAATCAACAATTCTAATGTTAATACATGACATTCTACACTTAAGCCCGTGACGCACTGCACGCAAAGCCGTGCAGAGCGAAGCAAAGCTGTCCGGCACAGAGCTTTGCGTGCAGTGTGTGAGCTAAGCGCAGCCAATCGGCTCGTGCTTAACAACTGGCCAGGCGTTGCATCCTGACGAACGGGTTTATACGCAGGAGCCGATTGGCTGAAGATGACATTTTTCATCTCGGCACCCTCAGCTATGCGAGCTCTCGCAAGCTGATGTGCCGGGGAGAAAATAACAGGACACACTGCTCGCGGAGGCAGCGCGCCACCGCTCCGCACTGCTTTGCGTGCAGTGTGTCACAGCCTTTATAGGGACAAGAGCAAAAAGTCAGTTATAAACTGTCAACGCCAACCATGCGCGCAGAGACACATTCGCCTGGCACCAGAAGAGGGAGACGCAGGGGGCATCCACATCTAACCGATTATCTGATAATCCTATCAAAAGGTATCAAGTTATCAACACAACATCAATAATGGATCTAAACCCTGATATGATCAGGTACCCCAATCGACGTATGGTACCCTGTTTCCTCGAAAATAAGACCTACCCTGAAAATAAGACCTAGTACTATTTTTCGAAAGTGCTAAAATATAAGACCTACCCCGAAAATAAGACCTAGTTGTAACCATTCCCAGGGCCGGTGGTGGCATAAGAGGGAACTTGAAGACCCCATTCACACTGAGTGACATGCAAATCGCGCGACTTTGAGCGACATCTTCCTATTGGGCTGTATGCAATCAGGAGCAATATTGCTCAAAATCGCTCTAAAAAAGGGTCATGTAGAAGCGACAAGCTACCAGCGACGAGCTACAAGCGATATTGAGCGATATTGAGCGACGAGATGTGAACAGCTACATTGAAATGTATTGGTGAAGCTACATAGAGCGATATAGTGCGGAAATATGAGCGATATCGCTGCAAAAATCGCGCGATAAATCGCTCAATGTGAATGGGGCCGAAGAGCTGTCTCCTCTATAGCGCCGGCTCCTGTCACAGGCGGAGTGATACCAAATGCTCTCCACCTGTGAAGAATGATAGTGAAAGTGCGCTTCGCTCATTCTGGCCAGCGATTGGTTAGCAAATTGCTCTTGGAAAGGTACGGCACCCCTGATTGCCCTGATCATCATATTTTTTACACGAATACATATAGACTGTTGTACATGAATACGTGTGGATTGTTGTGCATAAAGAAAGAAATAAGACCTACCCCGAAAATAAGACCCAGTGTGGTTTTTTTTGTGCCCCAAAAAATATAAGACAGTGTCTTATTTTCGGGGAAACACGGTATATGTTTCTTTTATATTTGCAATGAGTTACGTTTGTCTTTGCAGGCCGACATGCAGTTGTACATCTTATCATTCCTCACCCCACAAGACCTGTGCAGACTTGGAATGACAAACCATTACTGGAATGAAATGGTACAAGATCGTCTCCTATGGAAATACTTCCTGCTGCGAGATCTTCCTGCCTGGTCTTCCATTGACTGCCACAGCTTGCCCGATGTGACTGTCCTCAACTCCCGCCTGCCTGAATCCGAGCGGATGGATCCCAATTACATGTCCATGTGAGTCATTCTGCTGAAGTAACGTGCTGGGCTTTGTTTTGTTTGTGTCAGTGATAATAAGATTCCAGATGCAATAGGAGAGGTGTTGTGGAAATTAGGTCTTTTTTAGGTGCTGGCACAAATACCTGTCACTGTTAGCCAGTGGACTTAGATTATGAGGCAATATTGGGATAATGGAGACCAACACACAGACACCAAGGGGATACTGTAGCTGGTCTAATTTATTAAGGAAGTACATAAGAATTTATAGTAAAATATACGTAATACAGATCTTGTTCATTGCTCAAATTTAGATGGCAGTTATGACTCCATTGGAACTTTTTATATATTATCGGTAACTCAGATGTTCTCAGGCTTGGCACGGTGCCTTGGTCATTAGGTTGCCTGTCAATGTCTAGGAAAGCCACAAGTTTCAATATCATCATGTTTAGGGGTCCATTCACACCACATCTAGATCATCTCCAGACCAGACCAGATTGTTTCTGGACCCAAAATGCATCCCAATGTATCCCACTGCTATTTCTGGCCTCTGTTCACACCAGCGCAGTCCGTTCCACACCAGACAAGAAAAATACTGCATGTCTCATTTTCTCTGGTCTGGAATGCACAGGAACTGCAGGCAGGTTCACCAGTTTCCGGACCAGATCTAGTTCGGAAAATGGTGTGAACCTGCCCTCAGACATCCAAAATTAGGTCAGCATCATGAACAGAATCAAATAGACCAGAAGTTAATATTTGCATACTGTGTGTGTATGTATGTATATATATATTAATTACTTATTACCACTGCTCGTCTGTAACGAGAGGACGGTGGAGCGCGACGAGCAGCTTCCCGGCCGCGCGTTGTAATTACACGGCCAGCCGGGAGCTTTACATTCAAGCCAGCAGCTACCAGCAGCTGTCACTGCCGGTCCTGAGATCCGCTGTGCCCGATGCGGCCAGGACCGGCACGGCTCTGTGACAGGAGATCAAAAGGTGATCAGTACACAATCTCCCTTTGATCTACTCTCCAGTCCCGGAATGCAGGAAGGGATGTGTTACATCCCTTCCTGCATTCAGTGTCACTTTCCAGCTACAGAAGCTGATAAAGCAGATCTCTGCTTCATCAGCTTCTCTGGGGGTCCCTAGGTGGCATTAGGGGTCTTGGAGACCCCTGATGTCTTCATAAAGAGAACCTGTCATGTAAATTGGCTATCACATAGGGTTAGCCCCCCCATGTGATAGCAATAAAGTTGTGTAAAAAAAAAAATACAAAAAAAATCCTAAAAAAATAAAATAAAGAAGCATTAAAAAATAAAAAAAAAACATTTTTTTAAAGTCCTCTGCCCCTTACATACACATGCAGATATGCGTCGGGTGCGCCTACGTGCGAAAACAATGATTGCGCCTATTGTGCCGCACATGTTACATATCGCCACGAACGTTGGAGTTAGAGCAATAATTTTAGGGCCATTAAATACTGATAACACTAAACTGATGAGCGGTAAAAGCGTTTTAAGCGTCGCCTATGGGCAATTTTCAGTGTGGTAGTTTTTTGCGATTTTGCGGGCGCACGCAATTTTAAGGCTTGACATGCTTGGTGTCTATTTACCCGACGTGATCCCGAGTTTTATGTTTTACTAAAACTATGGGTAATAATAAATGTTTTATAACATAACGTAGGGAAACTTTGTTTTTAAAAAAAATATTTTATATACCACCAAAAGAAATCTATTTGTCCCCAAAAAATTTTAACATAAATTGCAAGGCTATAGTCTGGTCATGGTGACTGATGACATTTTGACTGGTGAGGCACCCTAAAATGTTTCAAACCCGGTTTATGTATGTATGTATGTATGTATGTATGTATGTATGTATGTATGTATGTATGTATGTGTGTCCAAAGCCTTATACTTTATGCATTGATGCCATTTTGAATCTCCGATGCCATTTTGAGCACATTTTTCTCCTTCAGAGGTCCATTAGACTCTTCAGCATTCAATGCTTTTCAGTATTGTTGGGTGCCTCCACCGCATGCTGTGGCTCCTTCCTCCAGCCTCTACATCACTGCTAAGTCTTTTAGTAACTTAGGAGTTGATGGCTGGAACTGCAGCATGGGGCATAGGACACTGACATTCCTGGAGTCCCTAATGCTGAGAAGTGTGGCAGGGTGGCTTTGGGGTGTCTAAAGGAAGAATGGTTCTTGTTGCCCCCTCCATTTTTAGTTTTTCTTCAAAGCCCCCACCTACGCACTACTACTTGCCTTTGATGGTCCCACCATCACTCTAGTCATCTGTCGGAGGTAGTACTTCTGGGTATGGGGGAGCATGTGGCCTCCTTCCCTTCCCCTCAGGATACAGTTCTTAAGTCTAAATGGCCTATTGCCAGGGCTGATCATTATGGGGAAGGGGAGATCGTCATTGACCCTGAGCAAGATTCAACACTGGCCAAGCTGTTATTATTTATGTTGAGAATCCTGTGTAGGATTTTACCTTTTTTTTTTTGTGTACACAGAAAGACATAACAGACTTCTTTTCCTTGTTACCAGCTATTTGCGGAGCTGCCCAAAAACCAGAAAATCTGTACGGTCCAAGAACCCTATTTATGGTGCAGTGACATCCTTCCTTCAGTCATTGGTCATGCAGGGTGAGCCTCGGTTTGCCATGTTTGGTCCAGGCCTCGAGCAGCTAGATGATTCTTTGGTCACACGAATGATGACGTCTCCAGATCTTCTACCTGTGGTCAGCATACTGCAAAGGCAGATTGATGGTGAGTCTTGGATTAATATTGATACTTGGGAATGGATATAAGACTTGCCATCAGGCTCTTTCCCCTACATGCATTGCTTTTAGCCTCTGGCAAGGTCTTTTTTCAAGTTTAGGAAAAGCAACAAATACCCTCTAAAGCAATTTTTTCGTCTGGAGATTTACTTTTCAAATGACGAGCTCAAAGAGATCTACCAACGAAAAAACATCTGCATTCGGGGTGGGAGGTGGCGTGGCGGTGCATTGAAGTCAATGGCTCCGCAGCCACGCCCCCGGCCCGCAGTGAGATCGCCTGCACCCGTAACACAGGCACATTTGTGCCTGCGTTCCGGTCCAGTGCAATCTGCAAAAATGCTGCAAGCACTTTTTTTGCAGATCGCACTGGACTGGAACGCAGGCATTAACGTGCCTGCGTATCGGGCGCAGGCAAACCCAGGGAGCTGAACAGCTTGCGTTCCAGTGCGTTCTAGAGGCCGAACACTCTGGAACGCAGACTTTGTGGAGTGAACCAGCCCTCTCTCTTCTCTTCTGTCTCTTCTCTCGCCCTGTGCTCTCTGCCCTGTTTCTATCTGCTGTCTCTCATCTCTCTCTGCTGTCTCTCATCTCTCTCTGCTGTCTCTCATCTCTCTCTGCTGTCTCTCATCTCATCCTGTCTGTCTTCTCTTACCTCCACTGCAGCACCTTCCCAGGTCTCCTTCTGTGCGCCAGTGTCCTGTCCTACCGCAGTGCTCGTGTGGCCGAATGTGGCAGACGTTTGTCCTGCAGGAATACCTCGTGCAAAACCAGGAACAGAGATTTGTTTCCTTGACATAATTAAGGTTTATTCAACATATGTTGGGCAGTACGATAGCCAGCGTACTACTACCAAAAAGAGGCATTTCAAAACTTCTAAACAAAGGCACATTAGCATAGTTCATGAGATACCTCCCAGTGCCATCCCACTCTGGGCCGACACAGAAATCATCCAATAAAATTTGACTATTTATCACAACTTTTAAATGGTTAACTCTCTAAAACCATAGTGTAATTTCTTTTCCTTGTTAGTTACACTGTAACAGCTTTGAAAGATAGGCAGTATTTGTCTTCTAATCAGCTACCCCCACACAGGTGTTTGCTAATAACAGAAAATCCTTCGAAAAGACCTGTAAACACAGACTGAGATATCTCTTTGCAGGGTCTGCACAAATATATCTTTGCAGACTCTGCAAAGATAAAAACGATGGACTTATGTATAAACAGATGGAGTCTTTAGTTTGACCAACTTTTCCACCACACGGGGAGAGGTATCACATTCAGCCGGTAGCTGCACGAGCACCGCCGGAGGACACGACACAGGTCAGTGAGCCGATCGCGATCTACCAGTGTTTGCTTTGCGATCGACCGGTAGATCGCGATCAACCTGATGGGCACCCCTGCTCTAAATGGAGATCCCAGGACAGAAAACTTTCCATATACACAAAATGCTTAAAAATGTTTAGTATTTATTATTCATCATAATTAATATTTAAACCAAAAATAACAAACAAAACTATATCCCCCATAAAACAAAACAGCAATACATGATCCTGATATCCGCATTAATTTGACATAATATCATGCTAATAAAATATATCTATTGCACATATCTGTCCTGGTGTTTTATAAATAAATGAGTGAATATTTGAAACATTTCCCCTACTCAAATCTCTTTATCTTTGTAAAGCTGCGATTGATGAAATTTAATTAGAATATAGTCATAATCCTGGTGTTACATGATTGTTGTCAGGATCAAAAAAAGAAGAACTTTCTTGTTAGAATTCATTGATGTTTGGTTAGTCCAGTATAACACTGATCATCTTGCAAACAAACTCCATGATGGAAATTTCAGGTGCATCTGTACTTTCAAAGCAATACTCCATGCAACTTTAGGATATTCCTGAAAATAATCAACTTGGTCTTCTTTGCTTAAAAGATGATAAAGAGGTTGTTTCTTATATATTCATCAAATATGTCTTTGGGTGCAGTAAGATGGCGCTACTCTTACAGGTGTATTTTATTCTTAGGGTGCGGCACAGAACTCCTTTTAGGAAAACCTATGCAGCCAAAACACAGTCCATCCAATATATGGGCAAACGGGAAATACGGTGTATATAAAAGACAATGTCCATATGTGTGAGCCATACAACAAGTTTGTAATATTTGCGATATGGAAAGTCTTTGCTGGCTTGCGTTAATTCAGCATCCACACATGTGAGTAAGCTTGTAGCACATTCTACACGACAAAATCTTTACCTGTGAACCAGGCTATCTTCAATGCTAGGCTCACACAGCAGCTTTTTCAAGCATGCATGTACTCCCATAGTGTCCATAGATGTCTCTCCCGGGTAATTCTCATGTAAATTATGAGAAGTGCCGCACCACCATACACCATCCGTTAAAAACCCGGAGCATTGGCAATCGGGTCAAGACCATCACCCATGACACGTTTCATTCCCTTCAGGAACTTCCTCAGAAGGGGTGAGATCAAACATTCTCCAAACTTCTTCCTCTTTTATCCTGGGAAAAGAAGTTATACTCCAACCAAAATTAGATAATTAATCAGCCAAATGGCTTACTTTAATGATTAGAAAAATATAATTTATACAAATATTTATGAACACAGCAGACACCGTGAGTAGAACCTTATATTAAAATTGGCAACGTTGTCAATGCATCACACTTATTAAAAACAGTGAAGCAACACCATATCCACGACCCTTTCTATTTAAATATTATGACCACTGATACATATCACTGTAATTGATGGCAGAGACAACCTTGAGGTCAATATCCACTCCCCTCTAGAGCAGAAAACACATTCCAATATATGTTAACCCCCATCCTGGGTACTGGTGAAGAATTTAGGAATGATTCATTTGGCTCTGGTGTGTTCTCCTACACTTTGATGGCAGAGTAACGAGGGCAAAGCAATTGTGGCTCTCGCCTCGGGCGCAGGTGCTGGGGGGGGGGGCCCAGCCAGCAGGAACAGCTCTGCACAGAGGATCGGGACATATGACTGATATGCACCGATCCTCGGCCACGCACAGAGCACAGCTTCTCCTCTGGATCTCTGCTGCTCTCGTCCATCTGTATGCAGCGGGGATCCGAGGAGAAGTGAAGGAAGCGCTGCAGCCACCGGCAACTCTTTCTCCTCACCGCTGGACCATGCTGCTGTGACAGTGACGCCCCCCAGCGGCTGAAGTGCTCCACTTTTCCTCGGATCCAGATGGAGGAGAGCAGTGGGGATCCAGAGTAAAAGCTGCAGGCTGCGCTTTGTGCGTGATGATATGTACAATCAATGATATGTACCGATCCTCTTTGTGCAGAGCAAACACTGGAACAGTCAGCTGATCACTCCAGTGTTTGTATAGTACTATGTGTCCCCAATTATGAATGAACAGGATGTGCTTTACATCACTTCGTGTTCATTCATGAGTCTCTCAATGGGATGGGTAGTACTCTGTACAGAGGATTCTTCCCATTCAGAAACTGGATGATAGTAAATATTTTCTGAATGAATGGGAAGCCTCTGTACTTTCCATTCATTTAGAAAAGATGCTGCAGAAAAAGAGATTGAGGACTCTGTGTCCTCCAATTTATTTTTCTATTTTAAAAGGGAAATATCAGGTGTGTGTTTAGACCCATAATATTTCCCCAAAGCCCCCCCCAACGTTAAATAAAAAAAACATCCTGGAGGCGGGGCGCATGCCATCCCATGCGTGCGCGGCGCTGGGTGACGTCACACGCCTGTTAAGGGGGGGGGGGGCTTTTTTTGTTTTTGCCTCGGGCGCAAAAGGAGCTAGCTACAGCTCTGAGATCCATACATATATAATAGAGAACATTATTGTTTTCAAGAAGCCACTATGTTGGAATTGGGGAAAATCTCTTCTACTTCATATATTACTCCAGAAAACATGCTAAATGTATTAACCCATTAATTCCTGTTTTTTCAAAAGTTTTCAGTTCATGAATCCATTTACATTTTCTTTGTGACAGCAATCTATCTACATCACCTCCCCTATGACTGTGATGGATTCGATCTAGTACAAGGAAGCGGAGGTTCACAAACCTCCCTTATGATTCATAATCGCATGTCTAGCAAGTGAGGACATTACACCCTCTCATGTCTCCCATGTGGTCAGAAATCCTGCCCCTCAAACGACGCAGGGTTTTTCCCCACATATAATGCGTCACATTCACATATAAATAGGTAGACCACATATCTTGTATTGCAATTCGCAAAATGCTGACACTGACTACGTATCGTTTGTCCCAAGGGAGTTGTAAAATGTTCCCCTGTCCTAATAAACTTACAGAAGCCACAATTTTGGCACTTTAAGGTGGCCTTCTATTTACAACACGGCCCATTCTTTCCTTTCTTCTTTTTGCTATTAACTAGCATATCCTTTAAAGATTTTGCTCTTCTATACGTTATCCGTGGAATCTCCGTAACAAATTTAGATATCCTTGTATCCGATTGTATCCTTGTTTCTGTATACGATTGCGCCTATTGTGCCGCACATGTTACATATAACCGCGAACGTCGGAGTGGGGACTATAATTTTAGGGCCATTAATTACTGATAACACTAAACTGATGAGCGTTAAAAGCGTTTTAAGCGTCGCCTATTGCCAATTTTCAGTGTGGTCGTTTTTTGCCATTTTGCGGGCGCACGCAATTTTAAGGCGTGACATGTTTGGTGTCTATTTGCCTGACGTGACCCTGTCTTTTATGCTTTACCAAAAATATAGGTAAGAATAAATATTTGATAACATAAAGTAGGGGAAACATTTTTTTATTCAAAATTTATGGTACTTTTTCATTATATAGTAAAAAATAAACTACCCCAGTGTCTCCCCCCTCCCCCCAGTGGTGATTAAATACCTCCAAAAGAAAGCTCTATCTGTCCCCAAAAAATGTTAACATAAATTGCAAGGCTATAGTCCGGTCATGCTGACTGGTGACATTTTTGACTGGCTGGTGAGACACCCTAAAATTTTTCAAGCCTTGGATATGTGCAGTAGATATCTTTTATTAGTATGATATTATGTCAAATGAATGCGGATATCAGGATCATGTATTGTTGTTTTGTGTTTGGGGGATTTAGTTTTGTTTGTAATTTTTTTGGTTTACCGTATATACTCGAGTATAAGCCGTCCCGAATATAAGCCGAGGTACCTAATTTTACCCCAAAAAACACCCGCGGCAGCACTGGAGGGACAGATGAAAAGGACAAGAAAGAAGAAGATCGGATTAAGAAACATAATTTAAGGTAAGTGCTGACATTAACATTGGGGGGGGAGAGAAAAACCCTTTTCAAAGCGGCTTTTTTTTTTTACACTTTTTGCACATATCTACTGCTTGCTAGCAGTAGATATATGCAAAAAGTAAAAAAAAAAAAAAA